TGAGAAGCATGTTTTCCATATTTGGTCAATGTCACAACAAGGAACCAGTCAAATTAGTCGACGTTACCTTGATCAAATAAAACTTTTGATTCGTCTAAAAAAATGAAATTGTAGTGTACATGATTTTTAAAAAAACTAATTTGTAAAATCTATGATTATATATATATATATATATATATATATATATATATATATATATATATATATATATATATATATATATATATATATATATATATATATATATATATATATATATATATATATATGTTAGTGTTGTTGTCGATATTAGTTTTATTTAATAAGTTGTTTATGTTTTAGAGGTTGCTTTTAAGGATTCTGATTTTAAAATTCAAACGCTTAGAATTTCAATATTTTAAAAAAGAATTATGGACTTATGAGAAGTTAGAAGAGTGACAAAAGAATATAAGAAACGAGCATTACTTTTTGCACCTTTAGTGGTCCTCACACACTCTTGTGAAAAATCAAAAATGTTTCTAGAATTTAAAAATGCATTTTTGCACGTACCCTATTCCACACTCCATCCAATTGTAAGTGATTCTCACTCTCATTTTTGCCTAAAACAAGTCAACAAATGCATATTAGTAAAAAATACAAAAGTATACCTCTAGACAAGTTTTTAGTCTAATACATGTCATACCTTACCCTTCCTCGTTTCAATCAAAACACACAAAAATATCTTCTCAATTCAATTATCTAATACCCCCAAGTCTTTTTTATCAATTCAAGTGTTTTTTCTACTCCTTTTAATCCAAATAGTTTGTCAATTACTTCTCAACATCCAATAAATCCAAGTGTTTCAACATAAACTAACCATTTGGTAAGTTTTTCAGCCCAAGTTCATTTCACATTTAATTTTCTCTACAACAATTATGAAATAGGAACATTAGTTTGTGTAATATACATGAATATATAGATAGTTACACTCATTGTTAGGTAGTTTAATGACCCATGCTTTTTGTGTCATTTTCATTTTCTCCGTGTTTCAGCCACTTTTGCATTTTCTAAGTTACATGAAACTATGGAAGTGTACTTTTATATATTTTTTTCAAAACTTGATTTTTCAGGAATACATAAATGCACTTCTATTTGATGTATGTCTGCATTGTTTGGTTTGATTTTAAATTCCTTTCATTTGGCTTTTATCTTTTCTACTTTGTCTATTTTGTCTGGTTTAATTATAGGTAACATGATTGACAACCAAGAACAATTGAGGCACGGTAGAATGTCTCAGCATGAATCTGTCATCATGGAAAGAGCTCAACCTTCACGACCACTGCTTGGTGATAGTTCATTTGATACAAAAGTGCGAACTTCTAGTATTCAGGTGTCTCTGACTTTGTCTTTCTAGCAGTAAACATCACTAGACGCTGTCTTGGAAGCCCTACTAGTCCAGGGTGATGTATTTGTTGCCGATGCTAACCAATTACAATTTATTGGTAATTTGTTACTGAATGTTGTCAGTCCCTTAATTCATTAAAAATCACATCCCTATTGATTACGATTCTCTCGTTAACTGCATCATAGAGTTTGTAACCACCCGTAGAGTGATACCCAACAAGTATCATTTATTCTCCCTTGCCATCTAGCATTTTTCTAAGTTGTGATTTGAAACATGTATATACACCACTAAATCAAACACCCTCAAGTGACTCCTACTTTGTTTGAATCTAGACCATGATTCTCTTGGTGTAATATTTTCTAGCTTCTTTGTTGGATACCTATTCAATAAATATGCAGTTGTGGACACCATTTCTCCCCATAATTCATTTGGCAAGTGTTTCCCTTTTAACATTCTTATTACTATGTTCATAATAGGTTGATTCTTCCTCTTTGTGACTCCATTTTGTTGAGGTGTATAGGGTGACACTACTCCATGTACAATGCCCTCTTGATCACAAAATTTCTCAAAATCATTTGAGACATATTCATCTCCACAATCTGCTTTTAGAGTTTTGATTTTGTGATCACTTTGTCTTTCAACCATAGCTTTGAACTTCTTGAACACTTCATGCACCTCATTTTTTCTTTTGGTCAAGCAAATCCACAAACTTCTACTATAATCATCAATCAAAGTGACAAAGTACATGTTACCTCTAATTTAGTCAACTTGTATAGGTCCACAATTGTTTGAATACACCATATCACCATATCTAGATGACACTTGGTTTTACATCTTGCATCTTTGCTAAAGTTGTCTCTATGTTGCTTGGCCTGCACACACTCTTCACAAACTTTAATTGGCATATTGATCAATGGCAGTCCCATAACCATGTTATTTTTTTGCATAACATTGAGATCTCTGACATTCAAATGCCCAAGCCTATAGTGCCATATACATCCTTCCCCACTAGCAGTCGTTACAAGTAGAGATGTCAAAATGGGCTACCCGGCACTAAACAGGTCGGCCTAGCGAGCCTTGAGTTTTTACGGATGGGCCAAAAAAGTCCTATTGTAATATGCGCTTGAAAATTACTATCTGAGTCCATCCTTATATGGGTTTCGGGCTACCCAGTCCTAAACAGACATTTTTTAATAAAAATAAATAAAATAAAAACCCCACAATATTTATTATAAATGAAATTAAAATTTATATTATTTTAAACATAATACATTTTTAAGTATTATATTATCTTTTATAAATACTATAATGTGTTTTTAAATACAACATATGTCTAAATTGTATAAAATAATACTTGAATATTTAACATAAGAGAAACTTATAGAATACGAAAAAAAGTGTTGATTATATTTATGTATAAGATTTAAATGAGAAAGATTGAATAGGATAAAGATAAAATTTAGCGTGATGAAATCAATATGTTATTTTGGAGTAAGACAATATAAGTAGTAATATATTTTTTAAAATTTTTATAGCTATGCGTGTCTAATAGACTACACACGGTCCATACGGGCCAACCCTAATGGGTAGCAGGTTTTTTAAGGCTGGGCTAAAAAAGCTCTAAAAATATGGGCTCTAATTTTAAGGCCTAAACCCTTATGAGCTAGTCCGTTTTGACAGCTCTAGTTACAAGACACATGTGATCCATTACTTCCAATTCAACATTAAAAGTTTTGTTTTGAGTCATATGAGCCTTTAGGGTCAAACTCCCATTTGCATCCATAACTTTCAACACTTTGTTTTCCATGTGAATCTTGTAATTCCTTTTGAGAAATTGAGCAATGCTTAAAATACTACACTTGATTCTAGGTATATACAACACATCTTTAATCAAATAATGCTTATCCTTATTCCTCTTGATTGATATTTCACCAATCCCCGCTGCCACTAGTGTGATGTCATTCACAAATTTCACCTTATTCTTCATGGCTCAATCCTTCCTTCTCGTCATGTTTGTTGAGCACCCAAAGTCAAGATACTATTGATTGTTGTGTTATTCATCTTCTTTCACAATCACCATTTTATGCTTATGAGGTTCAAGAGGACTTTGCAACTCTTCTTTGCTCATGGTTAAAAGATCCATTGACTCTTCAATTGCAACTACTATATTATCGAATCTTGATGTTAAAGATCTCAAGATTTTACCAACCACATAGTGCTCACCTGATTCACATCAATCTTGTGATTATTGTTGTGAATTCACTAATGGTTTCCTTCTCTTCCATCTAAATCAATTCCAACTGCCTCTTTTGAGAGTTTGTGATCTTACCACCTTTGATTCATCAACTCTGCATGATTTTTCTCCAGAATTTCTCAAGCTTCCTTTGAAGATGTGCAGTCATCAACCTTCTCAAAGTTATCAACATCAACACATTAATGAATGAGATATAAAACTTTAAAATATTTTGTCTTCTATTATATGCAGTTGTTGCACCTTCTACAAGGAATTAACAACATTCTTGATCATTTCAGAAACATCTTGATAATCAAACAACATCTTCGACATCTTCATTTGTTTTTACCACTTATCATAATTCTTCGCATCGAGAATTGGGAGATTTGCAAAAATACATTCAATGGATATGAAAAACATTTTCGACACTAAGTGTTTGATCAAAAAACCAAACTCTTGATGCCAAATGTTGGAGCTAAAATCATCAAGTGTGAAAAATAATCAACTATAATTTCGAAGCAGTTACACGAACGCAATAATCAATCACAAAACACTACTACACAAAAGTGGTAACCCATTACGCGTGCATTTTATTTGACTTGGGTGGCAACCAGTTACACAAAAGTGATAATCGATTACGAGTACAAAAGTGATAATCGATTACAAGTGTATTTTATTTGACTTGGATGGCAACCGGTTAAACAAAAGTGGTAACAGATTACTAGTGCATTTTGTTTGAGACGGTAACTGGATACAGCTCCACTCTACTTGAATTACTTTTTTTTTTTTCCAACACTTTTTGGCTAATGCGGTTTTAGAACCAATTGCGTTGGACTGTCGTACCAACCTTAATAGTTTTCAACTTGGTTCAACTCAGTTTGTTATGTGACTTGTTTGGGTAAGTGGTATGGATCCAAAACTTGGATTGGTAGTTTTCCTGCAGCGGAACCTTGTTGTTGTCTCCTTCTTTGGTTTTTCGTTTGAAAGAAATTTTATTCCCGTCACACAAAAAAAACCATTGAAAGAAGGTAGCACTTTCCAACAAGTGAACGTTCATGCTTATTGAGAGAACGGTCCCCGAAAATAAAATAAGCTACTAATAGCAAACACAAGACGAAGTGAGAGTTATAGCCACCTTAATTGTTGCTACAAGTATTTTTGTCAGTAATGAGCATAGTTTGAGGTAGCAGGGTCAATTCACTTTTCCAGCAAAACTTATTGCTACTTCCGTGAGAAGCTGAGTTTCTTAGTGTTATTATAGTATGATCATGTGAATAAAATAAAACCGAAAACTATATCAATATCTATATCTATATAATTCAATCACGAAATAGTATTTTGTATGTCAAAGATACAGATAAATTACTGTTATTGACACTCTTCTAATATTGCAGTTAGATAACTTCATGCACTAAGATGCATAGAGCAGACTGAAGAGAGCTTAAACTTTCTGATCTTGGTACCATTTTCGGCCTGAAAGATGATCTCAGTATTTGATCTTACAGTCACTTCATTCAACTCTGGTGCTGATGCTCCCTCAGTTCTATAGTCGCGCAAAGTGTATAAAACTTGAAGCGTAGAAGGAGCTGCAAACCATCTCATGTTAGTTTAAGAAACAACATACTACTAGACAATAATAACAATGCAAGTATAGAATTATGCAGCTTCCCATCTTGAATGCTTTATCCTCCGCGACAAATAGGTAATTATCAGTTGAAACTAATTTTATAGAAAAGAGTCACATGTAACTAGTGTATTGAATAACAACTTGTTCACAATCTTTTATCTTGGTTTTTGCAGTTTTTGGGATAGAGTATATTATCATTATTATTATTGCAGCTAAATACAATTGGAATATAAAGCATAATTATTTCGAGAAGATTACCTAGTCCAAACATACTTGTCTTTTGGATTATCATGCTACCAACTTTTGATCTTCTGATATGTCTTAATGCCTCAACATCTTCTGCTTTGCCCTTAAACTCAAGGAACTCTCCCAATGCATACTTGTTGCCTTTCAGTTCCAACCTGCAACCCAAACAATCTGTTTTGTGAGGAAAAAACTAAGGCCGACAAAGCTCTGAGAGTACACTAATCCAAAGGCAACAACATTTGATTTGTAAACCCAGCTAAACAACAATTTGAAGAAAAAGTATCTCTATTTCGATTCAGAAGAACTTCCTTATGGTCTATAGCAGATAACCTCAAAATTGCTCCTTCTGCCAAGGTATTTCTCCAATAAACCTAAAAGAACTTGATGTACATTGCCTTGTCTGGTTTTATAATTTATCAAGCCTCCACTTAATAGAGCTGGAAATGAATAGGTTTTCAACACAAATCCAGCAAAGCCATACCAAACACTAAGCCAACATCAAATAGTTCAAAAATGGATTGATATATTTCCTCCCCGAGGCACCATTAACAGCATCCAAATTCATTTGCAGGGAATTTAATAAAAGAACAGAACATTAGAAATATAACAAGAGAACCATCAAGTACAAGTGATAGCTTACCTATCCCATATTGGAGCTGTGCTCAGAACAAATTCAAGATTCTTATTACCAGATTCTTGCATATCATTCTTCCCACTAAGAAAGGCACCCTTTACCCAACTAGAGATTACACTCTTTGTCCCTGGCTTCTGTAGCTTCCATTGTTCATGGGTAATAACTTCAGGTGGAAAATCACTTGTAGGAATGGTACTGCAAATACAAAAGGAAGAACTTAAACATATAATGTATTACAAACCAAATGTAAACAAGAAAATAACTACTTGGCTTATTTTGACTGAGTAGACCAGATAGGCTGTATATTTTATCTGTCATAAATAACTAAAAAATACTGCTTGTCAAGGGATTAAACCAGTGCTTACAATTTCTTCAACACATTTTCAACTTTTTCACAACCATATTCCATCTAGAAATTACACAATACTAACTTGTTTGTTTCTTGCAAAGAACTATTTAAAATAGAATGCATGAAACAAATATATATGAAGAATAACTATTAGAAGTCAAGTTAATATAAGAACCCAAATTTGGCGAATTTTGATGTCTTCAACAAAAAATGAAATTGTGTATTGACAAATCATGAATTAAAAGAGAGTATCTTCTTCTACTGAAATTGAAAATATTTAGAGGAGATTCAAAAACATACCATAATTTAGGATTTGGAAGTATAACTTTACAAGTTAGAAACCCTTTAGGTAGAACAACCCCTCTTTGTTCAAGATAGGATTCAAGAATAGAAGCTTGCTTTCTTACTTCTTCCACCTGTATACAAATTGAAAAAACAAGTAATGAAAGAAGTTACCAATTTAAAACTCTACCCACATGTTCTCCCACGCCTAATCCAGCCACGATAACAAATATGAACAAATCCAAATCCAAATCCCCACTCACATTATTCAATAAACATCTTAAAGTAGTCTCCACTTTCTAAAACATATTTCATGCATCTTATGAAACAAACAACATAGCGGAAATAAAGCTACCAGTATTCAACATTTATACGAACAAAGACATTCATAATCATAATTGAATCAAGTGGTTTGTTTGTTACCGGATCAGGGTGACGCTCAACTTTATTATGTTTGCCTGGTTTTTCAGAGTGCCATGTACCATCACCATGAACTGTCAAAATCCCTGAGAAATTCTTCACAGATATCACTAGTAGCTCTCTGCAATATTAAATTGAAATTCAAAAAAAAAAAATAATAATTAAAACCACAATAGCACTGAAGTCTCTGGAAAAAAAAAGGTGTGTCAGTGTCGGCGCCCAACACAGACACTTTTGATTACAATTGACATATTCATTTTTTTTCAAGTCATGAATGGAAGAAAAATACCTTTTAGTAATAAGAACGAGATCAATGGATTGTGGTGAAGCAGAATCGGCATCGGGAATTCTGAGACCAACAAAAACCTTACCTCCGAAAAGCTTATGAAGCCTGCAATAAATAAAAATCAAAATTAGAATCATGAATTCAAAAAAAGTAAAATTGATTGAATCTGGAAGGTGAAAATTGAAGGATTGATGTAAAAAAATGGTTAGGTTATAGGTTAAGGAGAAAATGAAACCTGTCGGCGACGTTGAAGAGAACAGTGGAATCAGAAGCTTCAATGTCGGAAACGTCGTCGTCATAAAAGAAGCATTTGAATAATTTGTAAATAATCAAGCCACAGATAATCGCAGGCCACATCTCTCTCTCAAATGAAGTGAAAAAAAAAGTTCTTCTAATCAAAATCGGTGTGAAGAAGCAAAGTATTCTATCAAATTCTTGACTTAATTATTAAGGTTTTTCCTTTTCAAATTACAAAAGCTTAACAAAATTAAACTCTGTCAACAACAAAAATTCAATGGAGAAAAGAAGGGTTGGATGTCATAGAGAATAAGAAAATAAAGATTTATATTATTAAATAAATAAAATTGGATTATAAAGTGTTTATTTATATAGATTTAAGAATATCTTTAAATTAAAGATATTTTTTGTGGGCGCAAAATGATTTGTAAGATTTAAAAAATTTATAATTGATTTGTTTTTACTTTAATAATAGTTGCTTATAAAAGACTACAACTTGATTCTATATTTTATATTTTTTAATTGTAATTATTTTTTTATTGAAAAATTATAAGACTTTAATAATATAAATAATAATATTATATGTTTTAAAATAAATAGCATACGTTAAATATATAATTGGCAAAAACTAAAAGTTAGTGAATTAAACGTCATGTCATAGTCATTCCAATGCAAATTTTTTATAATCATAGTTAACTATAAAAAATTTAACTATTAAAAACATCCATTAAAGATGCTCTAAGTGACTTCACTACTAAACTCTAATTAATTTTAGGTTTGGGTCACACAGGTCAACTTGAATTATATCTAATATCTCAATATATCTTTTATAATTCAAATTCTCGAAACACATTAATCATTGTTTATATGAACTATTCTCAATTTTTTTCTCAACGTTAGAAACTTGTCGATCTTCAATTCTTTGATAAAAATGTCGGTCAATTGTATTTTCAAGTTCACCTCTATTCACCTTTTCCTTTAAGAAGTGAACTCTAACTTCGATGTGCTTACTTCTTCCATGCAAAACTGGATTCTTCCCAAGATTTATGGTTGACTTGTTGTCGATATGTAGTATCAGAGGTTTCTTCACTTCGACATCCATTTCTTCAAGCCCAAATCTAATCCAAATTGCTTGACATGCATCATAGGATCCTGATATATATTCAGCATCACATGATGACAATGCCACCATAGATAGCTTTTTTGAGCACAATGAGATTTAGGAACCAAATACTTGAAAGAAATGTCCAGTGGTGCTTCTTCGATCTTCCTTATCTCCACACTAATCAGCATCTGAATAAGAAGTAATCATAGTTTTTTTGCTTTCAGAGTCTCGTCGAAATAAAATTTCATAGTTTGTCGATCTTTTTAAGTATCTCGGAATTCTTCTTGCAGTCTTCATGTGTGACACCTTTGGTTCACTCATATAACTGCTCATTAATCCGACTAAGAAACATATATCAGGTCGACTTTTGCACACATATCTCAGAGATCCGAAAATTTGTTTGAATAAAGTCGCATCGACTTTGTCTTCCTCACTATGCTTCTCCAACTTTAAATTTGGTCTGATAGGCAAAGATGTCGGAGTCGAATCATCCACTTTGAATCTCTTGAGTATCTCTTTGACATATTTTCTTTGATGTAGCACCATACCTTGCTTCGACATTTGAAATTTTATGCCTAGGATGTACAACAACTTTCCCAAGTCCGACATTTCAAATTCCTTTTTCATCAGCTCTTTGAACTTCGACAAGTTCTCCAAGCTACTTCCAATTACTAACAAAGCATCGACATATAAGCAGATGATTGTTATAGCTTGTGCCACAACCTGAACATAGACACCATACTCAGATTTGCATTTGACAAATCTCAATTCGACCAAGTATGAGTCAATCTTTTTGTAACATGCCTTATGTGTCTGCTTTAGACCATAGAGCGCTTTGTGCAACTTGTATACTTTCTTTGCTTCCTCTTGAATCACAAATCCATAAGGTTGGTAGGGCACATATTCAGAATATAAACAGCAGACGAAACAACTTTACCTCATAAGGATTTTGAAAAATTCTTCTGCTTCAGCATGCATCTCGTCATGTCCAGTATGGTTTTATTTCTTCTTTCTACTATTTCATTATGTTGAGGAGTATAAGGAGAAGTTACTTCATGATCAACACCATGTTCTGCACAAAATGCTTCAAATATCTTGGATGTGTATTTGCCACCTCCATCTGTTCGCAGAACTTTGATCTTCTTTTCACCCTGATTTTCGACAAATATCTTGAATCTCTTAAAGATTTTGAATACTTCGTCCTTTCTCTTGATCACATATATCCACAGATTTCGACTAAAATCATCGACAAATGAGACGAAATACCTATTTCCACCAATGGTATGCTCTTCAAAAGGAGCACATACATCTGAATGTACAACTTCGAGTATGCAGGATGATCTCATTGGCATAGTCGAAAGAAATACTTCTTGGACTGCTTTTCGACTAGACAATCTTCACAAGGTTTGTCAGGCATTTCAAGACTTGGTATATCGATTACCATATCTTTAGTAATCAGTTGATTGAGTGATCAAAAGTTCAAATGTTCAAACCTCAAATGCTACAACCAACTATGTTTGTGGTCGACAACAAATTTTTAGACATTGTACTTCAGTTGATCTGATCATGGTTTTGAATGTCCTGTTCTTCGACAAAAGAGATTTCAAGACCAAATTATTTTGAGTGTCGAATAGTTCCAAGGCTCCATCTTTCATGATTATTGAGAAACCTTTTTCGACCAGTTGCCCAACACTCAACATATTGCATTTCATTCCAGATACATAGAGTACATCTTTAATCATAGCTTTTCCTCCATTGCTCCTTTTGAATAACTATGTAGTCAATGTCTTCTGCTTACAATGAGCTATTATCAGCAAGTTTGACCTTGCTCTTCTTCGACTTGTCGAAATTTGCTAACCACTTTATTTGACTAGTCATGTGATTCGAATAATCCAAGGCGAGGAACCAAATCTTGGAGTCGACATGATCATCTGCAACTGCAGTCATAACCACCATATCTTCAGAACCATTTGAATCTTGGCATGCAAGGTTTTCTCTTTCCTCCTTGCCTTCCATTGCTCCCTTGCCTTTATTATACCAACACTGTTTGGCCAAGTGACCCCATTTTTCACAGTTATAGCACTGCACACCTCTTTTCTTTGTCTTTCTGATAGGAATTTCCTTCTCCTCTTTTCAAGAATTCATAAGCTCTATCATCAACCTTATTTTTGTGGGGATTCGACAAAGACCTCTTGCCCTAAGTCTTGCCAATTTTACCTTTGAACTTGCTAGAACTACCATTCTTCTTCCACGACTGAGTCTATAGTGCTTGTATCGAGTCTTGGACTCATTTCCTTTCGACAATCCTAATCTCATGAGCCTCCAATGAACCAACCAAATCTTCAAGTTTTAGGGTTTCAAGATTGTTGGATTCTTGAATAGCTACGAAAACGTGATCAAAGTTAGAGCTCAACGTACGCATTACTTTCTCAACTATCATCTTATCAGTTAAGGTTTCATCACAATCCTTTCACGAGATGAACGAGTTTTTACACCTTCAACACATAGCCTGTAATCTTTTCATTTTCTCCCATCTATAACAATTCATATTGTTGTCACAAAGTTTGCAACTTCACAACCTTGACTTTCTCGCCTCCTTCATAGTACTTGACAAGAATATCTCTTGTCTCCTTCGTCGATTCAGCATGAGTGATTCTATCAAAATTAATCGCATCAACCGCCGATTGGATGTAAAACCCCCGCTTGCAATCCTTCTTCTTGGGAGCGGTACTCTGTGTGTCGGTTGCATCTTCACCAAGCGCAGGAACACCATTAGTAACCACCTCTAGGATTTCATGAAAGTCAAATAGAGATTGTATATGTTTTCTCCGTTGAAGTCAATTCTTGTCGTTAAGAGTTGGAAGGAGTTTGGTAAATTTCTGTTACCATTCATCTTTGCAGTGATTGATCAACAGCAACCCACGATTTCTGAAACACAATCTCTGGTTGTGATTCTTGAAAAAACGATTAAGAATCTAACTAGAACTCTATATATTAATTTGTTAGTGTGTGATACACTTTTAGTAAGGAGAGAAAAAAGAGAGAAAATAAAAAAAATAATGATTGATATTATTAAATGAATAAAACTGAATTACAAAATGTTTGTTTATATATATCTAAATGACTTGACTGCTAAGTGAAATAACAAATTTTAAACTCTAATTAACTTTGAATTTAAGCCACACAATTCAACTTGAATTATATATAATATTTCAACAATGAATAAAACTTTTTCTTCAATTCTTTAACGACTTGCATAATAAAAAAATTTAGTTTATAAATAAAAATACGTTAATTTTTTTTTGTTAGTATGGAGGTTAAATTATATATATATATATATATATATATATATATATATATATATATATATATATATATATATATATATATATATATATATATATATATATATATATATATATATATATATATATATATATATATATATATATATATATATATATATATATATATATATATATATATATATATATATATATATATATAATATGATAATTTGTTGGTTTAGAGATAGGACCTCGGTTTTCAATGTGCAAGGCTTAGGACATTGACTACTAACCAAGTTTAATACTTTTCCATAGAATAGAAAAGGTTTTAATTGTCAAAGTAGGAAGCCAACATTAAATATGTTATGGGAATATTTTATGAAAATTTTATCCCATATTTCATCATTTATTTTTCTATTCCTATATTATATATTTTTTTATTAAAATATTCTCATATAAATAATTGTAAAATTTTTTGATTTAATTATTTGATCCAGAATTTAATAAATAAATTTGTCTTTAAAAACCATTTTATTAATATTTTCAACAAACATGAAAAATCTATTATATAATCTTATAATATTTTCATCAAAGATTTTCCGCTAATTTTTTTATATTTAATTAATTAATTAAATATAAATATATTTATTATTCACTATATCATTTAAAACTTCTGACTAAGTCACATTCTTATATTTTAAATAATTATAATTAACAAATGCAACAAG